CTAGCCCACGGTCCCAAGGAGAAGTCTTTCCCTCTCCAACCCCCTGCCTTAGCTGCGACAAGTCTCAGGGATAGCCCAGGGAGTAGAAGGAAATTCCTCTGCTGCCTTGTGTTAGTTTTGCCTCAAACTCACAGCAGCTTTGGCAAAATCAGCTGCAGAGGAACAGGAGAATTTCTCTTCACTCCCTGGGATATCCTTGAGACTTGCAGCAGCTAAGGCAAAAGGTTGGAGACGGGAAGACTTCCCCACAGCTCCCTGGGGCTTCTTAGGGCTGAGGGACCCTGGGGTGGGGGGAAGCCCAAGGCAGCGGCTCCTTGGTGCCCCCATGTTGGGTTGCATGGGTAGGCACCTGGCCCGACAGACTTCTTCTCCCTCCCCCATGTGGCAGCAGCTGAAGCAATCAGCAGCTGAGAAGGGGGAAGGGGGGATTCTCCTCAGCTCCCCAGGGCTGCCTGGGCCGGGGAACCCAGGCTGGGGGAAAGCTCTTGAAGGGGAGGCTCCCCCAAGGTGGGCAACTCATGCAGGGGGTTCCTTAACCTCCTGTGGGGGGACAACAAGGGGTTGGAGAGACTTGGATGGGCTGGGAATGGCCAGCAGGCTGGGAGACATGCTCTAGCACCCCCTGTCTACTGGTCTGGGTCAGTGCAGGCCTCCACCTGCCTTTCCCAATTGGACACTGAATGTCAGCTTAGTTGGTTATCAGTTCAACCTACGTATCTTAGAGGAAGTTGCCTAGATTGAATCAATTCAGCCTCAGACTTTTGACTGTCTGTATTTAGCCATAGGGGACAGTACATTTATCATCACTTGGGGTCTTAAAATAGGGATTGGATATCCATCTAGAAGATTTGTTCTAATTTAATCACCAATGATTATGCTACAATATTGTTCACTAACATAGTAGGGAGGGGAATTCCTTGCATTGCAGAAATTACAGGGTTATATTTTCTAGCCAACGTTATGCAGGTTGTTGAACTACTATATGGGTCCTACAGGGTTTTAAAAATCTGCTGGCAGACTGACCAAGAAAGAAAATTCTCCTTCCATACACATACCCTTAGCAATAATTAAAGGGGAGAGAAGAAACAAACAGGAATGTCTCCATACAAAATGGGTCTTGGGGAAGATATTGAAGTTCAGGTAGCTTTTAATATGCCATTTGGAAGCAATCACCTTTTATAATAGGGTAGTCAGGTTTTCTAGAAAAAAGACATTTTTGATTTAAAGTTTTCATATATTAACTCCCATCCATAACTTGGTGATAAATGACAATGCACTTTGTGTAATCTCTTACAATGGATATTTGCTGACTTTTATCAGACTTTATGCTTAGTGCTCAAGAAAACATTAATTCAAACTTTGACCTTTCCATCCAAAACATACTGCCAGAGTAGAGAAATTTAAAGTAAATCAGAATGAACAGCTGATTAATCTTGGATGTCTCCTGGCTGCAGTTCTACTTCCAACAAATCCAGTAAAATGAGCAAAAGAAGATCCCACTGCCCCAACCTAAGTAGACACTGAGCAAGCAGGATGAGTTATTTTCACCTGGCCTGCTAGCAATCTGCTATCATTTCATGTCACTGTGTTTGATTACTCTTCCAGGATAACAACACGCAAGACACCCATCATCTGAAAACTTAAAAACTGTTGATGTTCAAACCTATATAAAAATGCAGATTTCCCTTTTTCTTAATGCTGCTTAAAGGATGCAACCTGTTCCTGGCATTATACTAACAAGATGGGAATTAACTTTGTGACATTACCCAGCCTGCGCTCTACATCCATCCTTCTAGCTCTAGCACTCAATAACATCATTATTAGCAAGAGGGTTGGTTTAATGATCCAAAGAACAGGCTTGTAATACACTCCCTGAAGCACAAGTTACAAAAATCAGGCAAAATCCATCCAGCTTATTATAGTGAAGTATAAAAACTAACCCCAGCTGGATATTAAGGCCGTATGGCACCTGGAGGTACTTCAGACACATTTTTGTGACCTCTGAAAGTTAAGGTCTCATTTGATCCCTATAGAACATTAAATGTGTTAGCCATGTAATCATGTTTATTTCATCACTTTTCAATATTCTCTATAAATCTTCCAGGTCATGTTCACTCTCCTAGCTAGACCCTACCACAGAACCACAGATGAAGAGACTGCTTGTGACCTGTTGCATCCCATTTACTGAGGATCTAGAAACACCCAGTGCAGACCCAGTGCTCACAGATTACAACAGAAGCCAGCCCAGTAAAAGCCAGGTGTGCAGTCTCTACCAGTGTGGTTTGGACCAAAAAGCTCCTGTCGGTATTTATAGCTTTTCCATGTTCCAGAAAATACTCTTAAAAAAAGAGCAGCAGTAAAAGCACCCCTCGTCTTTGCCAGGGTAAAATTCCAGGGGATCCCCCTAAAAAGCAGCAACTCTTGATTGTGCCAGTGGGAAAGAATCTGGACTTCCATGTTTAAACAAGCACCTTAAAGCCAGAAAAAACACTTGTGGTGTTGCAGTAGGATTTTTCAAGGGCTTTAGATAACCAACTGAGGAGCAGGAGCAGAGAGATGTATGGCATCATTGAGACTGATACTGGAATGCTACATGCAAGTCTGGCATCAACATTTTAAGAGAATGGCGATAGTGCAGAAAATGGCCATGAAAATAAATTTTAAGATTACAGAAAATTGGATAGTTTAAGGAGTTCAATCAGGGTAGTTTATAAAAAAAAGAAGACTTTAGGGGGGCTTAATTATAGTTAAAGGTAAATTCATGGGAGAAGACACAAGGTACTAAAGAGGTTAGCAAAGAAAGACACAGCAGTGGCTGGAAGCTAAAGCCAGATAAAGTCAAATGAGAAATTAAGCACTGGAACACGTTATCCAAGGAAGGGGTGGACTCATGATCTCTCAAGGTCTTCAGATTAAGGCTGGATACCTTTCTGGAGATACATTTTAGCCATCGTCAAGTTACTGGGCTCAATATCAGAGCAGCAGAATGAAATATAATGGCTGGTAATACAGAAGGAATCAGAATAGAGGTGTACTTGTCTTTTCTGGCCTTAAACTTCTGGACAAGGAATGGTTTTCCCTTACTCCTTAGCCCTGACCCTTAAGGAAAACAAGCTTTTTAATCCATTTAGAAGTCCCTTTTTGACATTCTTTAGCTGCAGTTTTTTTAATCAGCCTAATCTTTTCCCATAAAGCTTCATGCTAATCCTATTCTGCTATCTTCCTTAAACTAATAAAAGATTAGGGTGACATTTCAGAAAGGGCATCGTATTAAACAGCAGCTTTCCCATCTCAACAGATCACACAGCACAAAATGTAGTGAGCAGGCCATTAATCTTATGGTAATGAGGTGTCACTCTGAATGGAGACCTCCTCCTTGATCAATATGAAGGGCACAGGAATAATGAGGACACTGATGCTTGCCATTCCAGGCAACTTCGCCAGAAGGTAGCAGATCCATAAAGCACTCTGCTGTCGGAAGCAGCTCCTGTCACAGCATCATTCTGCCACTGACAATTGAGAGCAGGCACCCACTCAGATCTGTCACCTGGTGTGCTGCCTGCAGATAATGAGCCTTCCGCTATGTTCTAATTAGTGGCATAAAACTGTTTAACAACTTTGGCTTTGCTCTAACACGGAATCAATTAGGATTAGCAGTTGAATAAAGAATGCATTTTCCCGCCTACCCCACTAAGACTGCATCACTGTTGAAGACCACTAACAAAGCTCTTTCTTCCTTCCTGGGTAGATGCACCAGCACAGATCTAAACGCTGCTCTTCTCATTCCAACACACGGCTGGCTGATGACATTTCATTACTCAGCTAGCCTGCACACTACAAGAACACCAAGCAGCCTACTGATTTTTCTTCTTCTGTTACATATATCACAGTTCCTTAAATGGAAGAAAGAGCAGCTACCAACAAAGCCATGATGCAATTACCCTGTTTCTGAGAGGCTAGAATCCCAGAGTATTAAGCAATCTTTTAGGAAAAAAGTTTGAAGAACATCCTGTTTCCATGTATATATTTTATCTTTATGCTTGCTGTGATAGTGCACTGTCACTTTAGGAGCAAGTACATAAAATAAGGCCCTGATCCTGTAAGAATACTCATGAAATCAGACAGTAGCACTTATATTGCATTCCACTCAAATCATCAGGGCTATGTCTGGATACAGTGTTACCCCTACAGGGAACACCTTGGAGAGAGTAAGGTTTCAAACATGACCAGAGTAAAGTCAGTCTGGGACAGGCTCTGGTGAAATAAAGATTTCCAGACTGTGCAGTCAGGAACCTAAATAAAGACAACCCACTCTGGACATGGATTATATTTCTATATTTTCTCTTCTGTGGCTAAAAAGGTACAAACTTGTGTCCTTGGAGTCTCTGCAATTCCAAACCTCAGGCTACTGTGGACAACAGAGTCATCTAGCCCTATTGTTTACCTCTAATATCTGTGGTGGTAACGCTGGCATCACTGCTTACAAAAATATTCCGCCCCCAGCAAAGTCCATTCCTTTCTTCCCATTTCAAAAGCATGCAGTCCTGTAATACTAGCATTACATTCAACTGCTCTCACTCTCAGGATTGTGTTCACTGTCAAAATCAATGGGAGGAAACCAGTTAAAATGGGTACTTACAAAGCCGGCATTTAACAAGAACTAATTCACTAGGATATCTGAGAAATCACAGTATTTCTTCACACTTACAACGGCGCATAACTGCAATAGCTCTGACACCCCTGAGTGGTAACTTATGGACAATACTGGCTGCTTTGTTATAGTGATGTATGCATCTTAATTTTGCACCAGCACAGTTAAAGCTATCCCGGCTCATTAAATAATAGTTGACAATATTTGTAAATCAAAATAAGATTCTTCCCTGGGAAGAAAGAAGGGTGCATGTGTGCACATGTGCATGTGTCCCCCCTTCACTTTTCATAGAAAATCCTACCTTTCCATCTTTGGGGGCAACACATCTTGTAATAATATAGGCATTTACCTGTATACTGTAGTAGGTGGAGAGTTCACTGTGTCATAGATAAGCCTCACATGTCCTTGGTATAACTCCAAAGCCAAAGGATCATTGTCACCTTTGTATAACAGGATGCCATTGTCTTTATCTGTTGCTACCTGTAAAACATCAACAGTCAAATTAAGCTGCTTAAGAGTTAAGTAAATCATTTATTTAGACTAACAGTGCTACTGATATTATAGGCACTAGAGGAGAACTGGCAATGCAAATTCCTCCCCTTAGCTAAAGTGGTAGTTCCTTTTCCATATTTATTTTGTCTGTGGTCTCTGTCTTAAGTTATTGTAAAGGTGAGTAATGCAGATACTAAGTACAAGTTAATACTGATGGTAATGCAGATGCTGGGTTCTGGTTAGGACTCACCAAACTCAGCAGACAGGCAAGAGTTTTTGGTCATCAAAGTGTGGTGAATATTGCAAATCTCCATTCATATTATAATGAATGCTTTCTGAGCATTCGTTTAGTATCCTAGAAAAGGGGGCTCACTAGAGCAAATGTTCCTGGGCTGTGAATTTTAATCCTTTCACCTTCAAATATTAATGGAAACTGAAGTTAAAACCCAAGTGTAAAGACCTCACCACTCACCACAGATTGTATGATTAACTGTAATCTACTGGCTTTGTCCAAAGGTGTAAAGGAGGTGTCATTTAGTAGGTGGCCCCACACAAATCCCACAACTAAAGGCATCTTTCCTTTAGTTCAAGTGGCAGCGAGCTGGTTCTTTGGACCCAAAGGGCCATAATTCTAGTGCCAGTTGAATTAGTTTTCTTGCATTTCTATGAATACTTTTTGTGTCATTTATTAGCAACTCATGTTCACTACAAAATCACTACTAAATAACAGCTTGAATGGCAGTCGTTAGAAGGCAGTAAATGGAATTTATCAAAATTAGCAAAAACAAATGCAAGAAAATTGTGATTTGTTTATAGACATTTTCTGAACAGGGAAAGAAAAAGTGTACTTAACAGATGACAGTTTATTAGTTATTCACTAAACTCTAGTTATGACCAGGGATCCTGATTGTCTTTGATTAACACCCCCCTCCCAATTTTTGGATAAAAAAAGTAACCCAAAATCCACATTTTTCTGTGGTTAAAATGAAACACCACTAATACATAGATATATATAGTGCTGTTTCATTTTAATCATGGAAAAATGTGGATTTTGCGTTACTTATTTAAATCCCAAAATTGGGGATTTTTTTATTGGAGAAAACTAGGATCCCTGGTTATGACCAATATTACTTGCAATTCAGAAGTCAACACAGAGTATAACAGCACTCTAGTTGCTCCAACTTTAGCAATCTTAAAAATGCAAAAAGGCTAAACTTCATAAGGGAGGCATATACCTGTCTAGGAGGTGCCCCTTATGAGAGTGAAGAAAACAACAGATACTATGAACAAAACCTTATTCAGAGTTAATTTGTAACAAACATTTCAAAGGCTTTTAAATGGCACTTAAGTGGCAAGATAGAACAGTTACATGTTTTAATTGATTTTTGCTTAAAACATTTCATTGGCCCTTAAGAAAGAGCCAGTTTGATTTTCTTATAATGCGCTTTTAATTGGAACCTCTCTTTTGAATGGTCACTGTAGCATTCTATTTTCACTTTATTAGCAATTAATTGCCAGATGCAGAAACAAAATTTAGTATGAAAACTAAAATGTGAGAACACGTGGCCATGTGCTTTTTGTAATAGGCAGGCTTGGCCTTCAAATTAGTGCCAGTTAAAATTTACCTCTTTCATTTTACTTAAATAGAAAATGTCAAGTTTTCAGGTCTGAACTTGACCTATGGTACAGTGGGGCCACTGAGAATGTCTGACCTTTCAGTGTACTGCAGAGACTCTGATGATTTGAAATACAAGGACATTTAGAAGAGAAATGGAAAGTTCAGTATGTACATGGAATGGAGTCATGATTCATAAAAAACTGTATATTCAGACTTGGCTTCTACATTATTACATCATAATAAAATAATAATTATTCTTGGAAGCAAATAATACATAATATTAATCTAGTACAAAGAAATAATATAATATATATATATCTATATCTATATGTATACAGATATATATCTATATATAGATATCTATATATATCTATTTTCAACTAGTCAAATTTCTAGGATATAAGACCTTT